GACCTCACAGTCATCGCAGGGTATTTTGTGAATTATATTTTTTGTCTAATTGGGTCAACTTTGTCCTTCAACTTACAGAGCTTTCTCTGAGTTAGTTTTTTTGGGTTTGAATGCCACCCTAACTCCTGCTATATTTAGAATTCCTCCTTATAAGGTATAACTGTAGATGACCTGCATTCTATCTTATCGATGTTATTATTACTACTTTTACAATTGATTTTCTTTCTCTTTTGGCCTTTTTCAATTTCCTTAATGAATTTTATAAGAGAGTTATTTAACACCGACGCCTCTTCTATATTTTTATTTCATCATTTAGGTCTGCTCTTGCTACTTAGTGCCACTGTTCAGTTTCTCAAACACTTAACTAAGCCTGCCTTAGCAGTTAACGAATGCGTTGGTTTTCTATTAAAACTAATGTGTAGTTTGCCTTCTACTCATTTTATTTTACAATCTTACATGGCTGATTCTCCTTGTTTATTTTCTGATTCAAATGTGAGTTTTATTCCCCCCACTAGTGAGTTCATATGTATCAAGAAGCTAGAGATATGTTCTGTTTTTAACACTGTGAAAGTGTCATCCACATATCTCCACATATTTTTGAAGTAGGATTAAATCTATTAAGAGCCACATTTTCCCAGCCATCCACAAATATATCTTCTACGATAGGGGATATTGGTAATCCCATTACTACAATTTCAGTTTGTCTATACATTTTGCCCTGAAATTTAAAGATAGTAGATATGAGCCATAACTGAATTCGTAAAATGGTAGCTTCGTCTTATAAGTGAGTTCAGGATCTGCAGTTAATTCTTTTCAACTGTTTCTAAAGCCATATAGATTGATATGTTAGTATAAAGACTAGTTATGGAATGGAATTGCACTCTACCACAAGGCACAAGTTTTATTCTTATATCAATAAAATAGGTTTGTTTTTCTCTCGGTCAACCATTTAGGTTAATTTTCAGAAATACGAAGATGAACATAATTAATTGTACATCCAATATAATTGTCTCTATTAGAGCTGTCAAACTGGTGGATACACGTTAAAGAGGTGAAATTATGAGTGGATCATCACTTCAGTTAAATTCTGTCTTTTTACTGCATTCATTAAGCCCTGTGTAATTATTTTACTGACATTTTCTCCATGGGACTGCACTTTAGGGCGCAATAGATTGCCTTGGTGTTAATTCACGCCTTCGTCAGTTATCATTCATTCTCTAATAACCTGGAGTTCTTCATTAAGACAGTCATACACAGTAGCACGTAAACTTGTTGAGAATGCTGAGTGTTACTTAAGATATAATGTATACTTAATAAAAATGATGCTTGATTTTGACTAAGTAGTCGTGTATTACGTCATAATGTCTAATGAATGAAGTGTTGTTCAGAAAGTGAACAGATGGACAAGAAACAATTTATTATCATTGTTATTATTATTACTGAAGTACTTAGTGGCATAAATGAAGCAGAAGAATGCTCTTTTTTACAAAAAACGGATAGGTTGTTGAAAGATTGACGGATTGAAAAACAACCACTTGTGTGTACTTAGGCTTTGTCACTATTATTATTGTTATTATTATTACTCCTTCGGGTTTTGATTGGAACATAAGGTACCATGAGGACTCATCCGTTCAATCGTATCTCTACAGGGCTTTTAGCCCTATACGATTGCTCATAAGCATTATTCATCTCCTTATTACACTATCGCCTACGTATTACACCCACAAATGCCTAAGTTCTCGCTTTCCATTGGAGTCCCACTTGAGTGACCACTTAGCGTTAAACGTCACTCAACAGTCTTCTCAGGGTATATCCAATCCATCACCATTTCTTCGGTTAGTTGTGGACTCAGAGTTCTTCGATGTATTTATAAGTATCGTTGTAAAGACAAGGACGTATAAAATACTCAACGAAAGTGTCAAAACAAGACCTATTTATCTGTCGTGACCATTTTGTTATCAAGCTTCAAGGAGGTTCTTAAATCTTTTCGTATAGATGTCAAATAAAGTAAGCTAGTACATCTATTTGCTTGGAAACACATGACCCGGTATTTGAACATTCACGGATACAGTTATGTTTCACTTCTGGGTATTTGAACCAGGAATATGGCTTCCAAGTGTTAGTTTTTATGGATTTGGTTGGTTTCACAATTTGATCTAGAAATGAGTTTAGTTAGGAAACCACTGAAAACTAAAAAGCACTCGACAGATCCCTTGTAACTATTCATGAACCAATTAGCACACTTTAGATTGAACCTAACCTCTACCTCGAATTTATAGACTTTGAGAAGGCCTTCACTAGACAGTGTTGATCATGAAGTAATTTGGAAATTACTCAAGTACTACGGCGTACCCCAAATATTGATCAACCTTATTCAACAGCTGTTGTACGACAACGGCACATGTCAAGTGATCCACAACGGAAAACTCAGCGAGGTGTTTGGAGTAAACACAGGAGTCAGACAAGGGTGCTGGCTTATTATCACCAATGATATTCCTAATTGTGGTTGACTGGATTATGCGTCAGAGAGTGGGAAACGAGAAGACAGCGATTTCCTCCACCGAGGTGATGAACCTAGAAGACGTGGATTTCTCGCGTGGAGGATTTATGTTCGATGTCACACAAAATCGAAGACTTACAAGCAAAAACTGACAAATAGGTCGAAGAAGCAGTCGGCGAAGACAGGACTCCATGTGAGCATAGACAATACGGAGGTTATGAAAATAACCAACCCACAACAACAGCAGCAACATCAATCACCATCAACGGGAGGGATTTGAAAGAGGTTACTTCATTCATTATCTAGCATTAAGCATTGTCTCAACTACAGGAGGAACGGACGAGAATGTCAAAACGAGACTCGGGAAGGCGAGCAAAGAACACATTCTTCAACCTTTTTTAAACTGTTATTCTTGTGCTTATATGACAGTTAATGAAAACAAAACACCTAAATCAGCGAAGAGTCTCTTTTCGGCGAATTCAAATTCTTAGCTGTACAATCGCAAATATATATGTGTTATTTTGTATGTATGCGTACATTAAGTTCGCTGAAAAGAGACCCTTCTCTGATCTACGTGTTTTGTTTTCATTAATCCCTGGATGGGGATTATCCATGAATTTAAGACAGTTTTTGAATAAACATAACGTCGGTGATTTTCTTCTCTGAGTATAAACCAACTTTTCTGAAATAGAAATCGAGTTCGTAATTAAATATCTTGGCGTCGTTCTGTTTGCTGATCTTTTCTGGTCGTCTCATATCTTGATGATTTCTAAGAAAATATTCCGTCTTACCGTCTGCATGAAGAAGTTAAGACATTCTGGAATAACTCAAACCATACTCTCACGATTCGTTAACTCTTGCATCCTGACTATTATTCTCCATTGTTCCCCCTTAGTTTTTCCCGGGCTGCTGAAGAAAGGCTATACCTTATTACGCAGGGTGTTGAAGGTTGTCAGCAGGGTAAGCAATGTGCCACTTAACCAGCTTGTTAATATTCTGATCGACAGGCACTTGGACTCATGGGCTCAATCCATTCTATCTAACTCACACTACCCTATTCGTTCACAACTCTCCTCTTGTATCTCATCAAACCGAACCATAGGCCTATATAGAAAACTATATGTTCGCACTAGCAAGTACAAAACTCAACCATCTACTTAGCTCGTGTTCTGTGCAATAAAGAAAGCATTAGGCGTGATACTTATAACTTATTAAATAGTCAGTAGAACAACTGAATCTTGTCTTTCCAACTCATATCATTTATAGGTACATTGTTTTCATTCTTTCTTTTCCGTTTATCCTTTTTTGTTATGTGCCGTTTTGTTTCTTTCCTTCTTACAGACTCTATCTGAAATATCCTTCTTCGTTCTCTCACACTGTATATCTCGAATTTTTTGTTACCACTTACACCAGTAAACATGCTAGTATCTACTTTTCTAACACCTTCAAACACCGTTCAATTTTGGCTTTGCTATCGACATGCTAGTTGTTGTTGTCAAAACTAACCGAAATTACCCATAATCTATGTTGAATTCTATTTATTCTATCGGCTGATAAACGAAGAACAACAGTAATTCTGGACACAAAAGACTACATAAAGAAAGCAGAGGATTTACTCAAAGATTATACTATATACATCAACAGTTGACAAAAAACCCTATACAAACATTAGATAACAACAACAGAACAACGTTAAATAAACTAACGAAATCAGGACAAATTACAGAACAAGATCAATGGCGAATGAAATCTAAAGGACCTATTTTACCTCGATTCTATGGTAGAGCAAAACTACACAAACCAAACATTCCCTTACGACCAATCGTGTCGCTCTCAGGAACTTCAAAATATAGTCTGTATAAAGAACTTATCAGAAAATTAAATTACCTAACAGAATCATGCAATAGGGAGTCGGTGGTATAGCGGTTAGGACGCTCGCCGACCATGCACATGGTCCGGGGTTCGATCCCCGGCCGACGCACTCCTTTACTTCACTAAGCCAGAAATAATCCTGGTGAAGAGGAAAGGTTGGGCGTGAGGCTAGCAACCCCATCCTGTAAAATAAACATTGCTACAAAAACTTCAAGCCACTAGCTTGAGGCCTTATGTTCCACTGGGAACGTGAAGGAAAAATTATTTATTATTATTATCATGCAATAGTGTAGTAAAATGCTGAGAAATCCATTCTGTATCACAAGTACTGTTTTGGAATAAGGCAAATTGTTATTATTATTAAATCTTTAACATTGAATTGTAAAAACTTAATATGAGTATTAATAGTATTCATATTAGTATTATTACTATAACTATATCAATATTAGTAATAATATTATTGAAGGAAAACGTGCTTCATTCGCAAATGTATATATATGCATTTGCATAAGAATAACTTTGTGTTACTGGTTTTCCGCGTCAAAATATATTTGAGTCATGTGTGGTTAAAATAACTTTGAAGAGTGGAATAAAATAAAATTCATATTGCATTTCGTTCTTGTTTTAGGATAATGCAAAAAGTTACATGCGGGCTAATTCAGTGAGTAAGGATTTACAAAGTCGTATACTTCGATGGTATGATTACGCATGGTCAAAGTAAGTTGAGTAGATTTTATGAAATGTATTCTTACATTGACATTATATTTATTATTATTATTTCCTTTAATTCCTAGAAGAACATAGGACTTCAGCCGCCCAAGTCTCCATTGCGTTCAGTTCTCTGCTGGAGTTCTTAACTGGCTCCATGTCTGCCCACATGCTTTCATCTCCTCTTCACATCACATCCTCCAAGTCACCCTCACATTGACGACCAACTTGCCGCTTTTCTTTCGGGTTCCACTCTAGCAGTGGCTTGTCTAGTAATCTCACTTGATGGTCATCCATTTCTTCATGCTTATTTGTTGCACAATCGGTTTCTGCTGTGCTTATTGCCAGATATCCCTGTTGCTGATCTTTTCTGGCCAGACATCTAATCTTGAGCACTGAACGAAGACAGCTGTTCATGAAGGGTGCATTTTGTTTTAGGTGCTCTTTATGACGCGCCAAGTCTCTGATCCATCTGTATAGTAACGCTGACTTGACATTAGAGTTGAAAATCCAGATCTTATTTTTGATGCTGAGTGCTGTTGACCTTCACACAGACTTGAAAGTAAGGAAAGCTTTTCTTTCTTTCCCAATCCTCGCTGCTTTGATATCCTCGTCAGTTCCGTCCGCCTGTAGTTGAAACGATGCTTTCCAGGCAGGTAGGTAAAGGAGGTTGCCTCTTACAGATTTCTCCCATTTATGCTGGCTGATTGTCGTCTGTTGTTGTTGCTGTTGTTGTTGGCCAGGAATCTTCATCACATCTGTTTCCTTTATGTTCACCTGAAGTCCTATCTTCTCTGGATGCTTCTTGTGCCAACCTGTTACTTTTCACTTGCATATCTTCCAGTTTGTGGGGAATCAGACATACATCATCGGCGAAGTCCAGATCCTGATATTATATATATATATATATATATATATATATATAAATATATCTAAGCCAGGCTTTATTGGAAAGGCAAGATACGTCTTCATCAACCTGAAACCGGTTTGAAAATCTTCTGAACCTACTCAGCCTGCAAAGCGAAAACAAGATTTTAATTTCTCCTACCAATGTGAAGTCAGTCAGTTGCTGTATAAGAGTCAGGAACTTGTCGCTAGTGTTACAGAAAGCATTTCCAACAGCCTAATGAAGAATCGTATCAATAGCTGCATTAACCGACTCCATACTGAACAACAAATGACTGACGAGAAAGCATTGGCAATAAACCACCCAAGAGCCAATTATTCAACAAATATGTGGGAGGTAATGTAAATGAATTAGGCATCCGTTAAGGAGTCTGTAGAATGATATTGCGAGCAATGCAGGCCATAGCTCTAGCGGAATGCTAATAGGAAGTGACGACTCGGAGGTCATACGATGATGAAGAGATGAGACATTATAGTCAGTTGTGGACCCAGGTAGCTGTACAGGACACCAGGTAATAGAACAATGTGGAGAGGTGTTGTTGAAGCACTATGTTCCACTTGGAACCCCATGTGAATAATCATTATAAAATATATATTGCTGAGTTTCAACATAAAATGTTGCAGGCGGATGTACCAGTTCAATTCGCCACATTCCACGGATTACACAAACGTGGATAAATGAGAGAGAAAGTACCTTAGAACGGCTGTATTCAAAAGAAATGTCAGAGAAAGAAAAGGGAAAGTCACATCGGAAAACTTGAAGGCTTACAGGATACGTCATACTACGAAGAGAGAAGTCGTGTTAAATGATTATGATCCATATCAATAATCTACCTATTCGGATTCAGACAGAATAGTTTGATGAACTGGTCTGACATTCCAAGGCCAATCTATTTGGTTATATAGGAAATACATTTCAAATAATCCAATCAAAAGAGTATCATTCACAATAACTTATGTGAAAGTAATAAAGACGATGAAAATGAACATATATTAAATTAGGAATTCAAAATAGTAGTCAAGATAAGTGATACCAAAATCACCTCATAGTTTATTAATTTTGTCTTCATGTGTTGACATATTGTTTGTGCACATTAAGCTTGCCCAAAACTTCCCAACGTTTCAAATCTCTAGGAAACTGTAGTTTACGCCATCAATGACTTCTCCGCCGATTACGTTTTGTAGATATCTTTGAAAGAATCATAAATACTTTACTTTATTGCCTTGCTTCGGCAATATTTTCCTCAAGTCTAGGGTGTGAATGCTTCTCTGCGTTAATTATCGTTCCTGAAAAGTCATACGGCGCCTAAAACAACTTGGGACATATGTGTATCAGGAAATGCGTTATGACCATTGAAGTCATTTTTTTCTAAATTACTTATTTTACGTGGATTTGTATTTAATTCCGGTATTCTGACTCATTTCATGGCTTATGATAAGTCTAAATGTTTGACTTTAATTCACGTGTTGAGCGGTAGAATGTTTGTCAAAAACAAATGTAGTCCAGGGTTTGACTTCCAGCCGATACACCATCAAACGTCGTGAATACGAGTTGGTTGTAAGCCCACAGCTATGAAAATCTCAGAGTTTGAAAGCGTTTGTTCACAGCATGGCATATAAAGAAGTGAAACAAAACTCTCTGGATTATTCAACCTAGAGTTTAATCTACATATTACTCTCCGGAGTAGGAATACACACGTTTCAGATTATGATATTCTGTAGCTGTCGTGTTCTCTTTCTGTACATGGTGAGGATGCTAACCTTGCACACAACATTCTCTCTTTTTTAAGCTTATTATAGGACTAGGTGAGGCTTGTGTGTGCATCAACCAGGAGTCGAACGGCTGACTTCATGCATGGTTTCTAAGTATACTAAATTTGATTCACCAATTAGTACTTATTAATATATAATACTGTGTAACAGTGAACCACTCCAAAATTAACATAAGAATAGAATTATTAATATATGTGTAAAACTTAGGCACTGTGGTAGTAAGTAATACCATATTAGTTCGTTTATTAGATGTATCACACAGTGAGTGAAACAGTATTATTTACTGGATGACAAGGTTTCGAACAAAAGTTATTGTGGTTCGTATTCATATCAATTGTAATCACACGACTTCGAAACTTGAGTTTTAAAGTTTTCTTTGTCTTCTCCCATTTGTCATCGCTGGTGTAGTAGAATTTTCCAGATGTCCATCTGGACAGGTGTTGAATCATTCCTATTACATGTATTTGCAGTTGATTCGATCAACAAAGCTTCTGTTATCAATTTCTGCCTCCATTCACCATGTGACATTATTTTTAAAACTGTCATCCTATCCCATCCCATCCTATTGTATGGTTGTGTGTAACTGCATGTAGTGAGTGCTATAGCTGAACTATTCTCTAAATTTCTTATCTTATTTGGGTCAGTTAATCTAGATTCCGCTAGTTTTTTATGTTCGGCTGGTTTGACTGACTGCCCATATTCTACTAATTTGACCTAAGTATTTGACCTGTCAATCATCGCAGGTGGGGTATTAGATAAACTAAATTGTTTTGTGTTAACTTCTCTACAGGATTGATGCTCTAATCGACAAAGCTTGTTTCTAATTGAGTTCGTGGGTGGTATGAATGCCAGCCACTTTTATCCCTGCCTTGTTAAGAATTCTGCGTAACGTGGTTTCCGAGGTCCCTTCCTTGTATGGAATTACTACTGATGATTTAGATTCCTTATTGTTTGTGTCATTATTATTATTATTATTGTTATCATTATTATAATTATCGCTATCGCTACTATCATTATTTATTTCATTTTTACATTTCCTTACATATTTCCTGACTAATTTATCCGGGTAATTATTAAGTTTCAAGGCTTCTTTTATGGGTATCATTTCCTGTCTTAGATTAACCTTGGTACTACTTAGCTGTTGTGCTCTGTCACTTAAACATTTCACCAATCATATTTTTACTGACATAGGATGGAATGATCGGAATAGAACTTGCGCACTGTAGTAGAGTAAAATCCATTGTTGGTGAAATTTATTTTGATAAAGTCTCACACATTGTTTGTTATACAGTAAGTAATATTCACTGATGCGAACAAGTTTCAAGCATAAGCTATTGCAGCTCATAATCCTAGCAAGGCACTGCTCACACACCTTTCTAACTTAGTTTATTTAATTCCATTGGTATTGATATTTTCCATATTTTCTGTATGACTTATAAATCATTCTTACTATACGTGTTGGGTTTATACTCGATAAACAAGAACTCAGTAATCAAACTATATGATGCAATGAACCAGAAAGAAGAAGCGTTGATGTTAAAAAACTAACCTATAGAATTCATTAAGAATATCAAAAAAGGTCAAAATAAAAATAATAGGGAAACTTATAATGATATTGTTATAACTGTAGGGAATTGAATGAAGACGTTTTCACCTTATTCTGTCTGCGCCTGAACTAATCTGCCTATCTGCTTGTCGTACCTTCCGATTTAGTAAAGCACGCAAATATCAAAAGACAAAGGCTGGACTGTGACTGTGTATTGAAGTGCAACAACGATAAAGAAAGCCATGGTATTTATACATTTTACAACAATATGGACAGCTAACAGCATTTGAAATAATTTATCTTAATAGCCAATAACAAAGTGCGTGAGAGATGATAATATACCATATGTGCGAGTTGACAGTCAATAACAAAATGTGTGGGAATGATAATATACCATATATACAAGATTAGCAGTCACTACCAAAATGTGTGAGAATGATAATATACCATATATACAAATTAACAGTCATACCAAAATGTGTGAGAATGATAACATACCATATATGCAAGATTAAACAGTCAATACCAAAATATGTGGGATCCTATCACCTCCCCCGTAAAGAGTGTAGGACTTGCTTTTTGGATCTATTTGAAAAGGTTTCGGAGCTCTTCTTTGTCGAGTTGACCTTTGCGTGGTACTGGATAGAGCGTGATCTGTGTGTCTGACACATAACTGTCCTTTTTCATTCGTACGATAATGCAGCAAGAATTTATCCAAAATTTCTTCTGTTGTTCCCTCCCCCTTCGCTTTTGCATAAGCACGCTTAAAGGTGTCGACGAAACG